GCAGGAACCCAGGTCTCTCCCATTGGGTTTTACCAGTTTGCAGAAGAAGAAGGAGACGAAGAGGAGGAAGGAGGAGGAGGACGAGATACATATGAAGAAAACCCCGATTTTCAGCCCCCTTCGGTGGCCGAAATGGTGGATTCTCTCTCCACATGGGTACACCATGGGCAGAGTATTCTAAAGCAGGTATGCTCTGGCATAGCTCGCGTGGACCTCGGACACCAGTCACACTGTGGTACTCACAGGGTTTCAGAATGTAAATGGAACTCCTCCCCTGCACACTTGAACTATTCACCAGAAATAGTATTGGACTGAAATATTTTTGTACAGAAAATATATGATGGAGTGTACAATATATAAATGTTTCACTAATTTACATATGGCATATATTTTTACATATTTTTATACATATATATTTAGGAACCTCCTAGGTTTAATACTTTTTCAATGGTCTGTTCCTGAGATTGAAACCTATCTTTAGATAGCAGTACGGAGTTAGGCCTTGATAGATAGCAATCATTTCTGATAATCTTCTGTATTAGGTTTTCTCTTTTGAAGTCCTTACTTGACAAAAACATTTTAAATTCTCTTTTCATGGGTAGGATGCTAAAATGCAGATAGCTTACGATCGCATGCTAAATGGTACTTATTTGGCGTTTTCTTCTGGTTTATTTTTTGCTGCTTACGTTCTGCTGTGAAACATGCAAATGAAAAAGCTTAAAAGCTTGTGGTATCAGGCTGGTGCTGGAAAGAGGTGTTACCAATTTGATGATCATTGCTGGATGACTTGCTGGCCAGTCTACCGATTCAAGAATGCTAGCATAAAATATCAGCAAATGGTAGAAATAAGGTTTAAAATTATTATCAGCAAAACAATAGTTGTAAAAATAAAATCTGTATGCATTAGACTCTTAAGAACATTTTTTTATGTTCCTCTGACTGGTAGCTAAATAACAAGGCAGGCTTTAAAAGGAAGGGGCAAAGTCTGTAAACTAAGCCTCTTAGTTTGCAGTAACTGATAAATCTAGCAAGGGTATAAACTAAACTGGCAAGGAACTGAAGACTACAAAATAACAAAAAGCTGATGACAGAGGTATAAGGTTATGAGGAATATAGGGAACACTCTGCCAAGAGGATACAATACTCTGCCAACGATATACCAATTATGGAATATATATTTTTCTTTTCTTCCCTTCTTTCTTTAACTGTGTGTGTGTGTGCCTGAGCCAACTTTTTTAACTGGCTTGCATTCTTTCAGTGACTGTTACATGTATTTATTATTTTTCGATATCAATTATAGGGTCGCTGTGTTTGGCTTAATCCTTTTCAAAAATCAGAGGAAGAAGAAGAAGAAGAGGAAGAGGAGGAGAAAGCAGAGGAGCCAGATGAACTACAGCAAGAAATAGGACCTCCTCTTCTCACTCCACTCTCTGAAGATGAAGGTATTCTTCATGGAATATGAAGTTTTTGATGGCAACTAGGAATGTTGGCACTTAGGTAGTAAATATTTGAAGTTATAGGTGTCTGACGCTGGAGCAATGGAGCAATACAGTTTTCCCCTGTAGGGTAAGCACATTCTTTTACAAAATTAATCAAAAGCAAAATGATTAACAGTATTGACATTAAAACTGAAATAATTGGGTTTACTAGATAACAATCTTGTTGAATACGAAGGGAAAAAATACCTCAGACTTGTCAGGCTACTTCAAGTTCAAGACAGCTCATTACATGAAATACATTCAGCTATTTTTCCATCATCTTTTTAAACAAAAAATAGTGTGTAAGTAAATAAATATATATACGTCCACACATGCATAGATACACAAATAAGAATTTAAATCCTGTAGCATATTACTGCAGCAAATCACGGGAATATGGGAACCTGAATATTAGATTACATCAATAGTAAATTATTTTCCTACTCTCCATTCTTTGATCAAGGTGAAATAGATCATTTATTCGTAAGTGATAAACAGTCCTTGACAAAAGAAACAGTGGTGAGTACTACTGAATTTCAGGAGCATGACCTTTCTGTACGCAGCTCTACTAGCATTCCTGTGCCACCTACCCATACATCCAAACCACCTATTTGAATACAGTGCCTGCATTTATTGTGTCTGACTCCTCGCTCTTCTAACGTGCACCTTTACTGTAAGCCTTGCTTGTATTCTGTGAAAGTCTCGCAGTTCAGTCTTAAGTATTTTGTAGAGACTCGTAAGTCAATTTATTCATAGACTTGTGTGTGTCTGGCTGCCTCCAGGTATCCAAAACTTCCCTGCTTGGACAGCTCAGCCTTCTACAAACCTGATCCCACAACATGCTCTTGCAGTCCTTCAGTCTAACCGATGGCCTGGAGCATATGCCTTTGCATCTGGCAAGTGAGTAGCTAGCTGACATGGTTACAATGCAGCCTGTGTATGCTAAACACAGATACCTGTCTAATGAAGTCAAAGTTGCTTTATTATTAATTCATTGACTGAATTGTAACTATTCCGGAGACTGATGGAGAAGGGCACGTAAATGTGCACAGCAACAGTAAATACGTGTTTAAGACTGAAAATGAATCATCATTAGAAAGGCTGATACAAAGTTAATGGATGTCAATGTCAAGTTAGTATTTGGGCACGGTCCTTGATTTAAAACCTGTATTCTTGAGTCTGTGGTACTTTTTACAAAAATAGCTACGTCCTGTGGTTCTAAATGTTCATTTGTTCCCACTGCACGTGGTACTGTCTTTTAAATGTGTCTGTTATAAGGTATCTGCACCACAGTGACTTTTTGCGCAGCAGAGTAAGGAACATCTCCGCTGTTTTGCTGGGGGAGAACATGTCATCTTCCACTTTTCTTTCTCAGGAAATTTGATAACATCTACTTTGGCTGGGGTCACAAATACAGTCCAGGGAACCATACCCCTGCGCTGCCTCCACCCATGCAAGCTGAATACCCCGATGGGCCAGAAACCGCTGAGGCAAGAGACCCCACTCTGGAAGAGGAACTGGCTTTCAAGGCTGCGAGGGAAGAAGCCTTAGCTGCAGCTGAGGAACAGGAAGAGGAGGAAGAGGTCGCTGAGGACGATGAAGAGGAGGATGATGATTAAAATACAGGGGGGGACACCATTTTTATTTTAAAAGTTCAAATATGAATAGTATTTTCATAAACTAGCCGTTAATTAGTTGACCTTAAAAGAAACGCAACCGGCGTATGCCGCCTTTTTTATTTTCTGTCGGCTCCTCTTCGCAGCTCGCCTC